AGTAACTACCATTCACAAGTTTAATGACAATTAAATTGCACGGTGATCATATAATTCCATAAAATGAACAAGAGCTAAATATAAAAAAAGACTACACATAACATGTATCAGTTGCTTGGATACAAGTACACTAAGATCTCAATATCACCCAAGGATAACAAAAGTGAAAAGCAGGGTAATTTGTAATCAACAGCAGATAGCAGTCACAAATGTGCAGACATCAATTAGGTTTATACTCACAAACAGGATTAATATATCCAATCAATTTGTTCTAATGTGATAACGTTAATTTAAAACAACAGTAAGAACAGAGTCAAACAGCGGATGGAAGTTTAACTCAGTCTCCGTTCACTCAGAGAGGTTTACAGTGCATCCCTGTGGAAAACATTTACCTCTGACTCCCAGGCAGCTGTACAGTGTGTTTTTAGGATGTAGTTGACGGATCATACCTCACATTCTCTGGATCCTGAGATTGTGCAGGTGCAGGTCCCGGTCTCATTTACCAATGCATCCATGGTCTGAGAGTTTGTATAAGTCAAATAATATTCTTGTAACTGAGACTTAAGGTTAAGCTCCTGCTTCTGGGCTTTTTTTCTGTGCTTACGGTTGACTGAGTGCTGCTGCAGCTGCCTCATGCTATTGGGGTAGCGCCTCCACGAGACATAAATTACCAGCAGGATCAATGACACAGACAGAAATAGGGCTACACTGCCTGCAATTATTTTATGGAAGGCCATATGCTCAAACTCTAGTTCTGGGGAAAATGATGAGGATTCTGGAGAGATTGAGGTCATGAGTATGGACTCCCTTGTGTATTTTTCTGTCACAATGGGAGAGACAGGTTGTGGAGTGAGTCTTTGTACTGTTGATGCAGGTAGATCTTGGGTTATTGTGGTCATGGAAGAGGGAGGTGTGGTGGGCTTTTTGGTGTCCACAACTGAGGCTGTGGTTTGCCTCATGATCATAGCTGTGGTTTGCTCTACAACTGATATGTTCACACAGATTGAGTAGTTCCTCACTATGTCCATTACTCTGTCTCCCTGAACTGACTTGGGGCTGCTGCATATAATGTTGATGTCCTTTGAGCCTCTGAAGTTCTTCAGCCAGGTCACCAGGGGGCAGATGGTAGGGCTGCAGTCCCAGGCGTTACCCACCAGGCTGATGGTGGTGAGGGAGACCCAGGCTGAAACCACGTCCTGAGACATGTTACTCAGCTTGTTGGATTCAAGATGGAGTATTTGTAAATTTGGCATACATTGGAAAACAGCTGGGTCCAGGATCTGGATGTCATTTCCTGAGAGATCTAATTTCTGCAGCGTATGCCAGATCCATGGCAGGCCCTGATTCACGGCCCGTATGCGGTTCCATTGCAAGTAGAGGACCTGTAGATTGGTAAGTCGTGGGAAAATAAAAAAATTAATCCTTGAAAATTGATTATGCTCCAGATGAAGCTCTTTCAACTTGAACAGCCCCAAGAAGGTGGTGCGGGTGAGGGTGCGTAGGTGATTGTAACCCAGGTCCAGGAACTCCAGGCTGCGACACTCCAGAAAAGTGCGTACAGGTATACTGTTGAGACCATTGGACCGTAGGTGAAGGTTTTGGAGCTTACGCAGACCATAGAAATGACCTGGCTGCAGAGACTGTAGCTGGTTGTAGGACAAATCAAGATTGCGCAGGTTTGGTACAGCATTGAAAGTCTTATTGTGTAGAAGTGTGATCTTGTTGGAGCTAAGAATTAGTTCTTTGAGCCTACGCACACCCTGAAAGGCTAAGCTATCTATGGCAGTGATGGAATTGTGGTCCAGGTAGAGCCAGATGAGCTGGTTGAGATGAGCGAATTGGTAAGGCAGCAGAGTCACTAGGTGGTTGTAGCGCAGGGACAGACCCTGGCATCCAGTAGAGAAGTTTTCTGGAATATCTTGAAAAATGCCAGACTCGCAATAAACAATCTTCCCTTCACAGCTACAACTTGCTGGGCACATCCTCTCCCCCTTGCTGAGCAGCAGAAGAAAAGATGCCAGGAGAAGAAGACATGACAGCCTCCTGTCCCAAACTAGGGAACCTGTAGAAGAGAAGAGATTGAGTGCATGGGGCTATCAAAGCACATACCCCCATTTCAATATGGTGCCCTGTCACTGTGCAATGTCCATGACAAAGTGGATTGATTTTTAGACAGATTTTTTTTTAAATTGGCATTCTGTGAAGTGAAAATCCTGTAAAGTATGGGTGATGGGTGTTTATTTCTAAGCCAGAAATGCACAGCAGCAGAGAACAGACTCTGAAGAACTTTCACATTTCGTATCAGTTATGAGCTCAAAATAATTACATTGTTTTCACTTGAAATCTAACACAAATGGAACATGGCTAATGTATATGTAATGTATCAAATATAACAAAAGGGGAAGTATATTTCTCAGAGACCAATCTATTTGTTAATTATTTTTTGGGGGCAGAATTAGAAAACCGTATATAATACATATGCTGGTTGTACATTGAATAGGAAAAGCAAGCATCAAGGAGTGTCATGTAACAAAGTTTCAAAGCACCATGTAACTTTAATGAAATAGATAGATTTCTCATTTCATTTCGTTTCATTGGTGGTCACTTACTCATGGCGTTAGTGAAATAGCAGCAATCCTTTCAGCACCACGGAACCGTCCAAATAATTAATGTAACTCCTTTCATTTGACACACGCCTGCTCTTCCACTAGAAACATCCATATTATTGCCTGAATTGCCTCACAAGTTTCAAGAGAGATGCTCCCTGATGATAAGTACAGCATATTTTAAATCAGAATAAAAGACAACAAATAGCATAAGTAGTCTTCCCAACAGTTCAATATATCCGCGGAGGATCAATGAGACGAGGCATAATGCACTCATCCCCAAATAGCCTACTGGACTGGTATAGTGTCTTCACCCGGACGCAGAAAAAAACGAATTACTGGCTATGCGCAATAAACAATTCCGTTTGAGCGCGTCTGACAGCGCAACCAAGTGCAACTGCAACAACTTGCTCTCTCTTGCTCTCTACATACACATGCACGCAAACTCGCTAACACGCACACACAGAGACAATTCCACTGTATAAGAATCGGTCACATTCGAGTTACTGAAATAAATCCATACTGTGCATTATTTATTGAAAGTTGAAAGATCAACATACTTCAACATACTCTGACTATGAAATATCTATATTTATTTACAAAAGCTACCTTATTCATGACGAATTCATGAGACAGAAAAGTAGTCTCCACAATCTACCAGCTAATCTGGGTCAAAAATCGAAAATCGAATTAGTAATATCGCTGTTGTATAGTAGGCCTACTGCCCACAGTATCTATTAATAGCATCACAACAAAAGATTACACAATATTAATGTTCTAGACATGTTTCATGGGACGCTGCAAGAACATTAATGTGTCCCGTTCTGAGGGTTAGGAGAATATTCCATCAATGTCTCACATAACATGGTTGCCATGTTCTCCGAACATAAGATGTTTAATGTCTAGACATGTTTCATGGGAACATTACAAGAACATTTCTGTTTATCAATTGTCAGGACTGAGCCTGATGATCCCAAAGAAACGTCCCCCTTTTACTGTGCCAATCAAGGCCCTGATTGGTGAACCACTGACAGCACTTTGTCTGTTGGCAAGGTTAGAGACACACACACAGTGCTTTCAACTTATTTGACACACAAGATTACATTGTGCATGTTCATTTATACAGTCATTATTATTCAACAGTCCTCACCTGGGATTTGAACTCACAACCTCTTGGCTCACAGTACGCCGATCTACCTGCTATACCACCATGTCCATCTCAGGTATTGGTTAATCTGACTATTCTCATCATTGATTTTATTTACTTATTTCAACAATTTAAGAGCTTTCTGTATAGTTGTCTAATGTTGGTGGTGCATGTTAACCTGTTTTAATGATACTCCAATGACGAACACCCTAACACTGTCCCAATAAGGGATATCTCTAGGACGTGCTTATTGGGCCAGTGTAGTTAGGCCCTGTCCAGAATAAACCCTACCCCCTGCTCCCTAGGCACTTGTGTAGATCTGAAACAACTTGATAGGTGTAAGCAATAGGGTGAATGCACTTTGAAGTAAATCTCAGCACTGTTAAAAGTACACTCAAGTAACACTTTCATTGATAATAGTGATTCAGGAGTATCATTAAAACAGCTTAACATGCCCTACCAACATTAGGCAACTATACTGACAGCCCTTAAATTGCTGAAATAAGTGAATCAAATCAATGATGAGAATAGTCAGATTAACCAATACCTGAGACGGACAAGGTGGTGCAGCGGGAAGAACAGAGTAAGTATGTAAGTTGAAAACACTATGTTAAAAGCACTGTGTGCATCCCTAACCTTGCCAACAGACAAAGATCTGACTGGATCAGTGGCTCACCAATTAAGGCTTTGATTGGCTCGGCAACAGTAACAATGTGTGATGTGTAATGAAAACATTTTTTGGGAGAGTGTTTCTTTGGGACCATCACGCGACGTCCTGACAACTGATACACATATGTTCCTGCAACATTCCTTTGAACCGTGTCTAGAACATGAATATCTTATGTTCTGTGCATGTTTAGTGTGAAGTTGATGGAATATTGTCCTAACCCTCTGAAAACTGAAAACATCAATGTTCTTGTAACGTTACCATGAAACGTGTCTAGAACATGTGCAGTTCAGGTCAGCAATAACAGAGAGAACAATCTCTCCTAATACCTCAATGCATTTGGGAAATCAGTGCTGTTTAAACTGATGACAGGATAAAAGGACATTTTGGCCTTTTGTGATTTCTTATCAGACAAAAGATTGGATTTTAGTTTTTAAATCCCTAGCCACCACACGTCAGGATGGACATGATGGCACTATAATTTTGCAACGGGTCGTTGTTCACTCAGTGGGGTCATGTGAATTCTGCCACCAATGCACATCAGTGTTTGATGAATGCACAACAGACAAAGATGAATTGTCCCATATTTATTTGAGGAAAAAAAAAACATTCATACAAAAGATCTCTGCACCCGAAACCAAATCTTGTGTGAGCGCTGACCGCTGGTTTTGTCTGTCATGAGAGAAGGAACAATCTTACAGTATATTGACTCAAGTCACTGTGTTACACGTGCTTGTTGGCCTTTTCACCCTGGGGAGAAAAATAAAACAGGTTTTGTGTTAAAAGTCATGACAACTTGTGACATAATGATGATGATAATACTAGAACAAGTAACGGACAAGATCAACAGTTGTCCTCACGCCGTTTCTGTTTTACAGTCTATTTCAGTGATCCGAGTCTACTACAGTACCTTTATGGTATTCCCCAGCTCCAGCAGCATCTGTTGATAGCGGGGTTCCATGCTTTTCAGGCTCCCAGGCTTGACTATCTGTTTCTGGATCCCAGGGCTGCCTGCATCCTTCACCATCTGAAGAAAGTTATTCTCCTGTAGAATAGCAACCACCAACATCACCCGGAATTAGCATACAGGGACTGTAGATCTTTAACTAAAGCATCTACACTGAAAAAATATATTAAACACAACATGCAACAATTTCAAAGATTTTACTGAGTTACAGTTCATATAAGGAAATCAGTCAATTGAAATAAATAAATTAGGCCCTAATCTATGGATTTCACATGACAGGGATGTAAACAAATTTGTGCACAACATTTTAGAGAAATAAGCTTTTTGTGAGTATGGAACATTTCTGGGATCTTTTATTTCAGCTCATGAAACATGGGACCAACCCTTTACATGTTGTGTTTATATATATTTTTCAGTGTATTATATAAACAAATATGTTTTATTGTCACATACACCAGATAGGTGCAGTGAAATGTGTTGTTTTACAGGGTCAGCCATAGTAGTACGACACCCCTGGAGCAAATTTAGTTTGCTCCAGGGGTGTTAAGTGCCTTGCCCAAGGGCACAGTCAGATTTTTCACCTTGTTGGCAAAACTTGTATGGCAGTTTAACCACAACAAAACAAAATTCACATTTATTTCAATTGAAATGTTAAGGTTTTTTAATGCAGGCGCAATGCTGTTTTTACAGAATATTGCTTTCTGCAGTGATATCATTTAATCCTTGGCCACACATCCACATAATCTCCATTGCTCTTTGTGTCCTATGTTTGAAAATACATCCGTCTCACCTGTACTCCCAAAAGAAATGTGAAGGCCAGTCCAACTTTTCCAGCTCTTGCAGTCCTTCCAACCCTGTGCCAACACAAATACTGTCACAGGAAGGCAGAATATATCCTAATAACATTAATTGCATACAAAAGCTACAACAAATACAATTTAACCAATGCAGTTACAGGTGTAACGATCAAGCTAGCTTACCTATGAATGTACGTCCTGATGAACTGTGGTGCATCGTAATTCACAACACATTTCACCCCGTTGATGTCAATGCCTCTGGCAGCAGCATCAGTGCTGATCAAACTTCAACAGAAAAAATATATAATATATTTGGCAAAGAAAAGAGAACGTTAAATTATCCTCCAACAGACACTCATACTCACAGTTGGATCTTTCCCTGTTCAAACTCCTTGAGGGTTCTCTTCCTCTCATTGGGAGAGAGTCGTGAGGAGAACTCAGCTGCCTGCACTCCACCAAAAAGCTGCACTAGCAGATACAGTCTGTCAGAGAGAACAGAGACCAAATCAAATGGCTGTGGACATGTAATCTTCATCCAATAATGCATTAAGGAGAAAGCCAGGGAAAATTCACCAACCTGTGAGCGGCTTCTCTAGAATTGGTGAAGCACAGAATGGGACTAAACTTCAGGCGCAGTATGAAATGGAGGATGAGGAGGGGTTTCTTACTCAGAGTGCAGGGCACATAGTACTCCTAGAAAAGAGACCACAGTGACACATTGCTCTGGGATATAGGATAAATAAAAATCACTTGCAATTATGTTTTTGTAACGTACTGTCAGGCCCTGGGGGAAGTTGAACCTCTCTTGAGACTCAGGGTGGGTCGTTGACTGACTATGGACCGAGCTGAAGAGTCTGGGCTGATGCAAGCCTAGTTGCTGCAACTTCTCTGGATTCTGAGTCAGTGTGGCTGAGAACAGGAGCTTCTGCAGAGGCATCGGAGGCGGTGACAAGCTGCCACAAAGTAAAAACAGAAATGTTTAAATCACAGCATACAGTGGCTTGCGAAAGTATTCACCCCCCTTGGCATTTTTCCTATTTTGTTGCCTTACAACCTGGAATTAAAATTGATTTTTTGGGGTGTTGGCATAATTTGATTTACCACTTTGAAGATGCAAACTTGAGCGTGCATAACTATTCACCCCCCCCCCCCCCCCCCCTTTGGCTTTGACTAGGCCATTCCAAGACATTTAAATGTTTCTCCTTAAACCACTCAAGTGTTGCTTTAGCAGTATGCTTAGGGTCATTGTCCTGCTGGAAGGTGAACCTCCGTCCCAGTCTCAAATCTCTGGAAGACTGAAACAGATTTCCGTCAACAATTTCCCTGTATTTAGCGCCATCCATCATTCTTCAATTCTGACCAGTTTCCCAGTCCATGCCGATGAAAAACATCCCACAGCATGATGCTGCCACCACCATGCTTCACTGTGGAGATGGTGTTCTCGGGGTGATGAAAGGTGTTGGGTTTGCGCCAGACTTAGCGTTTTCCTTGATGGCCAAAAAGCTCAATTTTAGTCTCATCTGACCAGAGTACCTTCTTCCATATGTTTGGGGAGTCTCCCACATGCCTTTTGGCGAACACCAAACGTGTTTACTTATTTTTTTCTTTAAGCAATGGCTTTTTTTTCTGGCCACTCTTACTTAAAGCCCAGCTCTGTGGAGTGTACGGCTTAAAGTGGTCCTATGGACTCCAATCTCCGCTGTGGAGCTTTGCAGCTCCTTCAGGGTTATCTTTGGTCTCTTTGTTGCCTCTCTGATTAATGCCCTCCTTGCCTGGTCCGTGAGTTTTGGTGGGCGGCCCTCTCTTGGGAGGTTTGTTGTGGTGCCATATTCTTTCCATTTTTAAATAATGGATTTAATGGTGCTCCGTGGGATGTTCAAAGTTTCGGATATTTTTTCATAACCCAACCCTGATCTGTACTTCTCCACAACTTTGTCCCTGACCTGTTTGGAGAGATCCTTGGTCTTCATGCTGCCCCTTGCTTAGTGGTGTTGCCCCTTGCTTAGTGGTGCTGCCCCTTGCTTAGTGGTGCTGCCCCTTGCTTAGTGGTGCTGCCCCTTGCTTAGTGGTGCTGCCCCTTGCTTAGTGGTGCTGCCCCTTGCTTAGTGGTGCTGCCCCTTGCCTAAAGTGGTGCTGCCCCTTGCTTAGTGGTGCTGCCCCTTGCTTAGTCGTGTTGCCCCTTGCTTAGTCGTGTTGCCCCTTGCTTAGTCGTGTTGCCCCTTGCTTAGTCGTGTTGCCCCTTGCTTAGTCGTGTTGCAGACTCCAACCTGCCTTTCAGAACAGGTGTATATATACTGAGATCATGTGACAGATCATGTGACACTTAGATTGCACACAGGTGGACTTTATTTAACTAATTATGTGACTTCTGAAGGTAATTGGTTGGACCAGATCTTATTTAGGGGCTTCATAGCAAAGAGGGTGAATACATATGCACGCACCACATTTCCGTTATTTATTTTTTAGAATTTTTTGAAACAAGTTATTTTTTTCATTTCACTTCACCAATTTGGACTATTTTGTGTATGTCCATTACATGAAATCCAAATAAAAAACATTTAAATTATAGGTTGTAATGCAACAAAATAGGAAAAACGCCAAGGGGGATGAATACTTTTGCAAGGCACTGTATATCCTAGAGTAATGTGTGAAAGCACACAATCCATTGGTGTAGTACAGTTTGTATTCTCTCTAACAAACAAACCACATAGTTGCCTGTCCTGAATTTCCTGTATTGTCTGAAACAATCCTGAGAAGTGAGGTCTTACCTCGCCGCAGTGATAGGTGCAGGCTCTGTCCTCTTGAAGATCGAGACTGCTTCAGAACCACTCCTGGATCTGTAAACTGCCTTGGTCACCTGACTGAGCCAAGACTGGTGCATGCTGTCAATCATCCGGTCTGCCTCATCAATGATCTGAGAGAAGGATTTATTTTGAGACCATGAAATATGAATACTTGATTTAAATACTGTTAGTCATAACACCCATGCAAATAAAATGGACACTGTACTTGTATTAGTGACTCACAAGGAAGCGGAGGTGTTCCAAACTGAAACCATCATTCTTATTGATGTGATCAACCAGTCTCCCAGGGGTTGCGACAACAATGTCTGCCAAACTGTGGCTTATTCCACCTCTGTAAAAAGAGCAAAATGTATCTCTTTCAGATTGATCTTCTCTTTAAAATCATGGTGTTATTTATGCACAAAGTACTATTTTGAGTGAAAGGAAACTCTAAGCTTAAACAAATAGAATAATTTATTATCCACCAAGGATGAAAGACCTTTATGTGTCTTTACCGGTTTTCTGAGAGAGATGCCTGCTCTGTGGCAAAGGACTTTTGACCAGCGAGCATGACCACTTTCAAGCTGGTGCCCTCCGCATATGAACTGAATACTTTGCAAACCTGTTTGGGAGAAAACATTAAAAAGTTTTTCAGTGGATGTGAGCTAACACAAATAATCACAAGTTATCTCCATCATGGAGATTGAAGGTTTGACCCTAGTTACCTGCTGTGCAAGCTCTTTGGTGGGCAACACTGTCAAAACCCGGATGTCACATACAACTCGCTCCATCAGTGCCTAAAATGACATGAGAAAATCAAACTGATTACCTTCTATCTAATGAAAAAAAACACACCTTCCATGAAAATGTTTATGGTTAATGGTTTAATTCATACCTGAATAACAGGTATGATGAATGCCAGAGTCTTGCCACTCCCCGTTGGTGCAGACACACAAATGTCTCTTGGTTTGTAGCCCCCTCTTCCAATCAATAGACCATGAGACACACTCTCTAAAATGGCTGGGATGACCTCCGCTTGTACTGCACAGGGGACACAATAGAAGTTGAGTACTTTCCCCCCCATATTATGACAGCAAATGTTTTAAAACTTCTACTCCTTCATGCCTACTAACCTGGAAAGAGGTGATGAATTCCATTGCCCTCCAGTTTCCGTTTAAGTTTAGTACATATTCCTGGGACATCACTGATGGGGACTAGGTTGCTTGTAATATCTCTCTGGATCACATCTGGCTCAGCAAGCCACTGGGGCAGGACTCTTTGTACCTAACATATGAAATACATAAAATGGTATGTCATGAACATACTGTAAAGACTAGGGATGTAAAGATTCACCGATACGCAAGTGCATCAGTCTGCAGGAGTCCAAACCTATCCAAATTAGGCATGAATCGGTAAGAAAACCAATTCAAACGTTACGCATTGCCGTTTTCTGCTGTATTCCAAAAATACCTACAATCTGTTGTGACTTTATTGATGCGTCCTCTCCTTCAACCTATCAAACTTTTATGCATGTAACCGCATATGACATTGATCTACAAGTCAGATAACAACTGTGTGCGCAGTGTGGGAGACCGGCCTACCTTATCCCTGTTCTAATATTCATAGCCTACATCTGTGCGGCAACTTCAGCATTCAGATGTTTGTAAAATGGCTTTTGCAATATTAAATCATAGGCTTTATTCATTACAACCAAATAATTTGCTGGGTCATTGTTACCAAATGTGCTGTAGAGAATGGTGTTTTACCGGCGGAGCTGTGTAGGCTACCGGAGTGGACACAACTCACATCTTGCTGATTGCACATCTAACTATTGATTGGTGCTTTTCGATTTACAGGTTCACCGTACAAAATATTTTTGATAGTTCTGGTTTAAACATTCAGTGCATTTGGTCATTTTTACATAAACAGGGTAAATGTGTAATTTCATAACAAGGACAGCAATCATTTTTGCGAGCCGCACTGGTCTGATCTGGAGAAGAGAGCAGCTCTCCTCCATAAAGACCCAAACGGTCAAAACCATTTGCTTTTGAGACGTGGTGAAATCTAAAGCTGTGTTTCGTTAATTGGCTATTTATGCCATAGCTAATTTCTAAAGATAAATATTGACATATTACTAGCTCAAAACATTTTAATCTGCTATATGACAAGTTAATCAGTGGGTGATGAGGATTTCAGATAAAATCGAATAGTAGGGCTGGGCGATATGGACAAAATATAATATGATATTTTTCACATTTTTGACGGTATGGCGGTATTTTATGTTTTTGAATAATAACTGTTATAAATATACTTTTTGAGTAGTTCATGACCCTAAGATGGCAACACATAAATTATAAGTGATTTCAAATGGGGCTTTTTCCATTTATATGGTTCAATCCAACGGCAAACAAAACTAATTTTCATCAATTTTCTGCACTTGCAAACGCCATGCTCTATCAACTGAGCTACATCCCTGCCGGCCATTCCCTCCCCTACCATGGGCCAATTGCGCGCCGCCCCATGGGTCTCCCGGTCGCGGCCGGCTATGACAGAGCCTGGATTCTAACCAGGATCTCTAGTGGCACAGCGCCACTCGGGAGATCATCATTTCCACACTGTGCCACACAGCATGATATGGGAAAGAATATATAGGCCTAGTTATTTGGTGAACTGTTGGAATCATGGAAATATAATGATTATTCTAATTCTATAGTTGGAATATAGTGGGAAGCACCTTGAATGCATTGTTGTTGGACATGACAACGAATGAATAAACCAGGGAGGAATTATTGACAGGGTAGGAACCAAAGTGTTCAGTGTTTCCAGGTGACCCTAATTAGATGTTACATTACATGTTTTCTTACTTCATGTAGCTAGCCAACATATTAATGCTTCGCCTATTGCTCTCTGATAAGATGCTGTTGCACAAACATGCTTATGTAGGCCTACACCAGCACTGGTACCAGGCAGCATTAGCTAATTAGCTACGTTTGCTCTGACTCTTAGTACGTTTAGCAAGCTAGCCAGCCAGCTAACTAGTGATTAGCATTAGCGGCTAAAACTAGTTATTGTAGCAACACCTTGCTAAGAAAAGAGAAACTAGCAAACAGTAGTTTGCAGACAGTAAGATACACAAACTAATAGTGTAATTATAAAACGCTTGTGGAAAACAGCATGTCACCAACATTGTTGCATCCATCTGACCATGCAGAGTGAACGGCAAGAAAGTGCTTGTGAAGGCGTGGTCCAGCAACTGCTGCCTCCTTGAGTGACAGGTGGCAGGGCTTGGTGTGGTTAGCGGCATGCAGCAGCAGGAGGAGGGAGAGATATGACTCAAGTAGAAGACGGAGTAAACTATCAAAACGGACATTACACGCGCCGAAGTTACGCATCACATTTAACAAACCAAACATTGAAATACCATTATAGAAGGTAAAGTAAAAACTCAAACCGGTCCATGCATCAATATACGTATATAGTAAATTACGGTATACCTCCCAGCCAGTGGCGGCTCCTGAAAAAATTCTCAGGGGGGGCAATTTTTCTGATGATTTAGGTGACCTACACACATTTAAAAAAAGATATGTCCAGCAACAACATGAAGACAGGGGCAGCATATAAGTCAATACCAGAAGCATTTATTGACTGATCTCAAAAGTGTTGGCTTACAAAAGCAAAATAAGTTATCACAGTAAAAAGAATCAAGGGTGTTCTTTCACATTCCTCAACACTGCATAAACAATATGCATTTCCATAAAACACCTCATCTAATTGTGCCACAAAGTTGACAAGTCCAAGAAAAATACCAGGGTTGGTGGAGCCCTCAGTTTCATCTTTGCCTCGCAAAGCTAACTCAAACACTCCGCAAAACTTCACACACTGGATTAGCCGGCTGAGGATGTGGCGGTTCTTGCTAACCTCATCGTTGTGGCGGCGGACAGCTAGCCTGTATCCCTCATCCAGTTGAGTGGCAATGTTCACTCTCCCCAAAGCAGACAATCTCAAACAGCTATCCGTGTGGGTCTTTGACAGCTCATGTTTCTTAATCTTTTCTGAAAGATGGTGCATGTCCGTTACACCAGTCGCTGTCCAAGCGGTGCTGTCTGCCGTGCCGCCTTCAGGGTGAAAGAGTAAGCAGGGGTAGCAGAAGACTGCATTAGCTACATCGCTGCCTGCTAGCCAGGTTTTTCGTTCGTACCAATTTTTGGAAAATCCTCGTGTGTAGGACTTTCCCCCTTTAGTAGAAACCTGTTGAATTATTAAATTTGGTCTGGGAGGTCCTAATTGTTTCGTTGCCAATTTATCTTGATTTGTTCGCCGACAAAAAGGAACTTCTTTCAAAGAGACAATCGAGTTGCACTGAACGCTAGCCATCTTGACAGTAGTACGTGAATTGATTGACGCTGCTACCCGCTCTTTTCTTAGTTACGTTCATGGTTATGTTACGTATGACGAAAGCGCGTAAGTGCAAGCCCTCCCGGAACCCATAGAGATTGTATTGTGAAAGCTCTGATATTTGAAAAAAAAAGATTTTACATGAGAGTCTATGAGAGACTTCTGGGGCGATTTTCAACCTGACTGAAATCGCCCCAAAAGGGGCGGGGCCATTTGAAGCACGACTTTAGCCTGATTGGACATTTAGTGGCAGATCAGACGTCTAGATTAGAACACTGATAACTACTGTTGCCGTGATATAATTGATTAGGAAAAAAATCCCTTCCTTTTCCCGTTTGGCAGTGCGTCGCCCATATCGCCCTAATGAACACACCGCCCCTGCTCCCAGCCCTATCTGATAGTGGTAGATGCTCAGTCTGCCCTATGGCTCAACTCACACGAACACACACACAGCTCAAATAAGTCAGCTCACACAGATCCAGCTCAGCTCCTGAGCTCCATCAGTATCATATATGAATTTAGAATGGAAAAGTAATGTGTTGATGCAACAATTATTAGTGCATGGAATCGCATCGATTCGTTCCACAAATCGAATCGCACCAAATCGTTTCAAACTAAAAGTATAGTATCGCAGCCCATGTATCTCGATGTGTATCGAATCGTGCTTGTAAGGAGAGATGCACATCTCTAGTAAAATGTCCCACTACAAGTTATATCAATGTGCTAGTGCACTTAACCAAAAGACGGTACCTTTTGAATAATATTTTTCTCAAATCCTCCCAGTATGGTGAAACCAGTCTGAGAGGAACTTTTTTCTGTGTCCACCATTTCATCATCATTTTCTGGCAGCTCTGTTTTGTCAGTAGCAGCGGAATCTTGCAGGTTTATTTTCTTTTTGTGGACAGATGTCTGCTCGAACCCATCTAAGACCAAGGAGAGAAGCAAAGGCAAAATAAGGAATACAAATATAAAAACGTTTTCTTATGAATGTTATACCATTTCAAATGTAAATGTGTGTCAAAATGATAGATACACACCTTTGTCTTCTGTTAGTTGTATCTTTTTTGTATCATTTTTCTTCTTTTGTGCATTATCACCTTTGGAAAGTTCTTCAGGGTCAGGTGGAGACACATGCTCTTTCCTCTTCTTTGGGTGTTTTGTCTCCTCGAGGTTGTCTCCCTTGTTTTTTATTTTCTTCTTCACAGAGGTGTCCCTGTCACTCTCAACTGTTGTTTTTGACTGGTGTTCCCCTTGACATGCCAAGCTCTGTTGCTCCTTGACTTTGGCCTTCCTCTGAAGCTTAGCCAACAATGCTTTGGATCGAGACTCGTTGCTAGAGCCACCACCTTCCTCATCTCCAAGGTATCTATGAAAAGCATAATCGTTATTGTACTTCGTTTCAGGTCCTTACTTTATTTAACGTTACTGTACACTTTATAAACACACTTATTACTACATTAATCCAGAAGGTTGCTAGCCATCACACAACAAACACAAAGAGTGAACATACCTATTAATAAGGAACAGAGCCATTGTTCAAATGTTGAAACGGAAGAAAAAAAAGCTTGGCAAACTTAATGTAGCTGTAGCAGCCTATCCACCACGGATGGCTAGCTGGAAATTAAGACAGGAGTCTACAATATCACAATGCAAACAGTTCTCTATGTCAACTATTAAGAGTCGATATAATTTAAACATCAGCTTTTGCTTTGCTTTTACCAAAGATATTAGCTACATTTCTCTCTGCATTTCCACACGTGTATTTTCCTGTTGACAGTCGCTTTGAAACAACGTTGGTCGCTTTTTCATGCGAAAAAAATAAGGCTTGACCACTTAAAAAAATGTAAAAGGAATGTTTTCTTCCTATCTTGTGAGTAAGTAACGCTATTCTAATTATCTTATTCCTTAATAGCTATATTGTTAATATTTTGCTTAGTGAAAACAATATTTATATATGTTAAAACTGCAGTGAACGCGTTATAAAACAAGCACCCTTTTCTCTAAACTCCCCTTCCACCCTGTAACGTACATCCTTCCAAATGATGACGCCGTCCAATGAAAACAAAGGATGAGACAGTGCACACATTTTCAAAATCAGCTTTTGAGGCTAGCCGGAAAGCTAACGTTATTCATCAAGTGAAAGGTATCTAGCTAGCAAGCTAAATGGCTGGCAGGGAAAGGGACGATTGTTTCACAATGGCAGAGGAATCTGCTGTCAAAGTCTGTGTACGCGTTCGACCTCTCATAGAACGGTGAGGCTATTTTCTAAACTTAGCTAGTTTGAGAAATTGGCTTGCTAACTACCTACAGTAGCTTTATCTGGTGGATATCTGTAATGTTGTTAATCGTCGTAGGGAAGAAACTGCTGCAGAAAACGCCTAGTCGGTGAAGTTGTATTGGAAAGCTGATAAGCAGACAATTCATCAGGTTGACGATGGAAATCTTACCAAGAACTTCAGCTTCGGTGAGTTTTCAAAAAGGCTAGGATTAATGTTGGCCGAACATGCAGGCAATAACGTTAATCACTTATTTGTACGATTTGTTTCCCTAACAGACCGTATATTTAGTGCTGAAGAAGCAACTCTGCAGCTATACCAGGAACTTGCAAAGCCTCTTGTTGTCTCCACTGTTGAAGGTTATAATGGTAAGGGATTGTGAACAAGTGCAATGCTGTATCTACACTGAGCAAAAATATAAATGCCATATGTAAAGTGTTTCATGACCTGAAATAAAAGATCCCAGAAATGTTCAATATGCACAAAAAGCTTATTTCTCTCCAATTTTGTGCACACATTTGTTTATATCCCTGTTAGTGAGCATTTCTCCTTTACCAAGATAATCCATCCACCTGACTGTTGTGGCATATCAAGAAGCAGATTAAACAGCATAATCATTACACAGATGCACCTTGTACTGGGGAAAATAAAAGGCCACTCTAAAATGTGCAGTTTTGTCACACAACACCATGCCACAGATGTCTCAAGTTTTGTGGGAGCGTACAATTGGCATGCTGACTGCAGGAATGTCCACCAGAGCTGTTGCCAGATAATTGAATGTTAATTTATCAACCATAAGCCGCCTCCAATGTAGTTTTAGAGAATTTGGCAGTATTTCCAACCGGCCTCACAACCGCAGACCACGTGTATGGTGTCGTGTGGGCGAGCGGTTTGCTGACGTCAACGTTTTGAACAGAGTGCCCCATGGTGGCTGTGGGATTATTGTATGGGCAGGCATAAGCTACGGACAACTAACACAATTGCATTTTATCAATGGCAATTTGAATGCACAGAGATACCGTGAAGAGATCTTGAGGCCCATTGTCGTGCCATTCATCCACCACCATCACCTCATGTTTCAGTATGATAATGCACGGCCCCATGTCGCAAGGATCTGTACACAATTCCTGGAAGCTGAAAATGTGCCAGTTCTTCCATGGCCTGCATACTCACCAGACATGTCACCCATTGAGCATGTTTGGGATGCTCTGGATTGACCTGTACGACAGCGTGTTCCAGTTCCCGCCAATATCCAACAACTTCGCACAGCCATTGAAGAGGAGTGGGACAACATTCCACAGGCCACAATCAACAGCCTGATCAACTCTATGCGAAGGAGATTTGTCACGCTTCATGAGGCAAATGGTGGTCACACCAGTTACTGACTGGTTTTCTGATCCACGCCCCTACCTTTTTAAAAAGGTATCTGTGACCAACAGATGCATATCTGTATTCCTAATCATGTGAAATCCATAGATTAGGGCCTAATGAATTCATTTCAATTGACTGATTTCCTTATATGAACTGTAACTCAGTAAAATCGTTGAAATTGTTGCGTTTATATTTTTGTTCAGTATAGATTATAGTATGTTGAACATATCAATATATTTGGAAAACTTTGTAACACTATTTAAACAATTGTATTTGAAATCTCTATGGGTTTGACTTGTTTATTGACATATTATATTAAGTGGCAAGCATCATTTTCTCAGGAACAATATTTGCTTATGGACAAACTGCATCTGGGAAGACAATCACTATGATGGGGAGTTCTCTTACTCCTGGAGTTATACCCCTTCCCATGGAGGATGTCTTCCAGACTATAAAACATGTGAGTAGTAGTAAATAGAAAATAAACAGTCAAATGCATGTGTAAGATGTGTGTAAGTGGTTTGCTTTTCATTTTTTACTTTAGTGTCCAAAAAAGGAGTTCCTTCTGAGGGTGTCATACTTGGACATCTATAATGAGACACTGACATATTTGCTCTGTGACAGTTGGAAAAGGAAGCCTCTAGAAATCTGAGAGGGAAACAATGTAAGTTTGATGGAAACATTTGTAAGACAATTGAACTGTTAGACTACAATAATCAAGATATGACTGGTGTTTTAAATGGTGAAATGTCTGTCTTTGCAGAAAAATGTCTATGTAGCTGACCTAACTGAGAAACTGGTGACATCTCCTGAGCAAGCCCTTGCTTGGATTAGAAAAGGAGAAAGTAAAATGCTCTTATTCCTTATTTAAACCATAATGTTAGATTAAATATAATCTATGTGTTGCTTGAATAACATACTGACACTATTCAATGTTAAATGTACGCCCTAGAGAATCGGCATTATGGAAAGACAAAAATGAACCAGCGAAGCAGTCGTTCACATACAATTTTCCGCATGGTAAGACACTTTATTATACATCACAATAGACAATGCATATCTCGTTATCTGTGTGCTGGAGATAATGCTGGTGTTTTTTTCTCAGATCTTGGAGAGTCGTGACAGGGGTGACCCTGCATCTGGTGAAAATTCAGACGGCGCCATTATTGTGTCCCATTTGGTAAGCTGCCACAGTCAAGTGTGTTTGGTGAACTCTGATGTGTCCTCCGTTTTTTATTTTCTTACCAGTCTCCTCATTTTTATGTAGACTTTGGTTGACCTGGCTGGGGCTGATAGAGCAAGTAAAAATGGCGCTGAAGGTAAGTGGTTTGATACTTGTGCAAATGTGACAACAGTGTGAAATATCTTAATCTGAACAACCTTCCTTTGGTGGTTGGTTTCAGTTGTATTTTGTGACTTTTGACATATGATATTGTAGGTACACGTTTCAAAGAAGGATGTAATATAAATCGCAGCCTGTTCACCCTGGGTCAAGTGATCAAGAAACTGTCTGATGAAACCCAGAAGTAGGTGTTGGTTACTTACCATTTTCCACAGCATTTGTTTAACTTATTTACATTTTAGTCATTTAGCAGACGCTCTTATCCAGAGCGACTTACAGTTAGTGAATACATTTTTTTTTTATACTGGCCCCCCGTGGGAATCGAACCCACAACCCTGGCGTTGCAAACGCCATGCTCTATCAACTGAGCTACATCCCTGCCGGCCATTCCCTCCCCTACCCTGGACGACGCTGGGCCAATTGTGCGCCGCCCATGAGTCTCCCGGTCGCGGCCGGCGGCGACAGAGCCTGGATTCGAACCAGGATCTCTAGTGGCACAGTTAGCACTGCGATGCAGTGCCTTAGACCACTGCGCCACTCAGGAGTTACTTATGCGATTTGTTTACTAATGTGACTTTATCCATACATTCAGGGGTTTCACTAACTACAGGGACAGTAAACTCACCCGCATCCTCCAAAATTCCTTGGGTGGAAATGCAAAAACTGTCATCATCTGCACCATCACCCCAGTTACTGTGGAAGAAACACTTAGCACCCTTCCAAGTGGGTGAAATATTTGTCTATCTTAAATCTTTATTTTAAATTATTAATATCAGCCAAATGTAACATTCATTTCTAATAAAGTACCTGCCCATCTCTACAATCTAGTTTGCTAGTGCAGCAAAGAACATGAAGAATGACCCGCATGTCACAGAGGTTTCTGATGACGGAGCCCTTCTTAGAAGATACAGAAATGAAATTGTGGACCTCGAGCGCCGACTTCATGAGGCAAGTCTAGCTGTACTGGCTATTGGGGTTCTTTAAAAATGTTGCCGGCTCTCCTTCGAAGAATTGACACTTTTTACAACTTTTTGCAATTTCAACCTTTTATTTTTGTACATTGCCTTAGGTCTCCTCAGTCACTCAAACAACCGCGACAGAGAAGGAGACTCTGTCCCAGATTTTGCAAGAGAAGGATCAGCTCCAATGAGAACAGGACAGGATTAAGAATGTAACCAAACTTCTAGTCACCTCCTCAAACTTTGTTTCCATCAAAAAGGTTGGCTTTTAGTGCCTTATAGATATGTATCTGATGCTTTATTCCTTAACATTTTTTGTTGTACTTTTTGTTTATTTTTACTTTGTTTTACCATGTCTTTATATTGTAAAGATGCCTAAACGGAGGGTTACGTGGGGTGGAAAACTGACATCACCAGCCTTCCACCATGCTGGATTGTCTGAGCTAAGCTTTGCTGAGCCTTTTCTCAAAAAGAGAAAAGCTGATATGTATGTCTTGACAGAGCAGAATGAGGGTAAGTAAGCATAGTAAAAATATACTAAATGTCAGTGGTAGCTTTTATTCTTCTTTACAGTATGCTATATTTTGCCATACTGGCGCATAAATCATGTTCAATAGCTTTTTTTTTCTGTTTGTGTATTCACAGATGGCGATGAGTTAGATTCTACCTTTGACATGGAGATGAATCAGAGCAGTGTGACTGCATAGTTTTGCAGAAAGGTGAACATGGACTATTGCCATCTTATCGTTATGCCACAGTACCTTCTTGTTGTCCTTCATACTCATGTTCCTGCATTCTCTTCTTTTCTAGTGAATTTTTAACTCCAAACCAGCTGAACAAATTGTCTGAGAAGGTGTCCCGTCTGGAGATCCAGCTGGAAAATGAGGCTCAGCAGATGCAGGAGGCCATGGAGGAAGTGGAGACTTTCGAGAGGAGGGTCGCCGAACTGGAGATGCAGCTAGAGGAGAAGTTGCAAATGCCCACTGATGCACAGCTGGAAAACGAAGTTCAGCAGAACCAGGAGGCCATGGTAAAGGTGGTTGCTGAACTGGAGAAGATGCTAGAGGAAAAGTCTCACATTTCCACTGAATCACGGGAGCAGGTTGGCGATCACCAATGCCTTCTCACTGGTTTATCATGCAGAATGTCGGAAATCATTTAATCTGAATGCAAAAATGGTGCAAATGTCCTACTTTACAGATGAAAAGGGGATTTGAGGAGACTATTCAACTCTGTGAGACGTTGGTTCTGAGAAGGTATGTAGCTATTATTATATTTTTATTGAATTCTGTCACCTCACCATGCGGTCGGTCAACAGGAAATGGTTGCTGCTGAGTGTGACTATCTCAAGCAGGAGTTCAACATTCTAATGGAATGGACTGAAAACTTAAAGAAAGAAAAGGCTGCACTTCTTCAAGAATTGGAGAAGAAAGAACAGATATAGCCCCTGGTTCACCCCAGACTTGACTGCCCTTGACCAGCACAAAAACATCCTGTGGCGTACTGCATTAGCATCGAACAGCCCCCGCGATATGCAACTTTTCAGGGAAGTCAGGAACCAATATACACAATCAGTTAGTAAAGCAAAGGATAGCTTTTTCAAACAGAAATTTGCGTCCTGTAGCACTAACTCCAATAAAAAGGTTTTGGGACACTGTAAAGTCCATGGAGAATAAGAGCACCTCCTCCCAACTGCCCACTGCACTGAGGCTAGGAAACACTGTCACCACCGATAAATGTACGATAATCGAGAATTTCAATAAGCATTTTGCTACGGCTGGCCATGCTTTCCACCTGGCTACCCCTACCCCGGCCACCAGCTCTACACCCTCCGCTGCAACTTGCCCATGCAGGTAGAATCACTACTCTCGGCGGGTCTGACTTAGAATATGTGGAAACTACAAATACCTAGGTGTCTGGTTAGACCGTAAACTCTCCTTCCAGACTCACATTAAGCATCTCCAATCCAAAGTTAAATCTAGAATCGGCTTCCTGTTTCGCAACAAAGCCTCCTTCACTCATGCTACTAAACATGCCCTCGTAAAACGGACTATCCTACTGATCCTTGACTTCGGCGATGTCATTTACAAAATAGCTTCCAACGCTCAACTCAGCAAATTGGATGTATTCTATCACAGTACCATCTGTTTTGTCACCAAAGCCCCATATACTACCCACCATTGTGACCTGTATGCTTTCATTGGCTGGCCCTCACTACATATTTGTCGCCAAACCCACTGGCTCCAGGTCATCTATAAATCACTTCTTGGCAAATCCCCGCCTTATCTTAGCTCATTGGTCACCATAGCAACACCCATCCGTAGTATGCGCTCCAGCAGGTATATCTCACTGGTCATCCCCAAAGCCAACACCTTTGTCCGCCATTCCTTCCAGTTCTCTGCTGCAAATGACTGGAACGAACTACAAAAATCTCTGAAGCTGGAGACACTTATCTCCCTCACTAACTTTAAGCATCAGTTGTCAGAGCAGCTTACCGATCACTGTACCTGTACACAGCCCATCTGTAATTAGCCCACCCAACTACCTCATCCCCATATTGTTATTTACATTGTTATTTATTTTGCTCATTTGCACCCCAGTATCTCTATTTGCACATCATCTTCTGCACATCTATCACTCCAGTGTTAATACTAAATTGTGTAAGTCGCTCTGGATAAGAGTGTCTGCTAAATGATGTAAATGTAATTATTTTGCACTATGGCATATTTATTGCCTTACCTCCATAACTTACTACATTTGCACACACTGTATATAGATTTTCTATTGTGTTATTGACTGTACGTTTTTGTTTATTCCATATGTAACTCTGTGTTGTTGTTTTTATCGCACTGCTTTGCTTTATCTTGGCCAGGTCGCAGTTAACCTGGTTAAATAAAGGTGAAATAAAAATAAAATAAAATAAAAAGAGATGGATGAGTTCAATTCTCTGGAAGAGGAGAGCAAAATAGAATATGAGGTAATACAGACTGCTGCGTAGATTGCCTAGATATGTCAAAAGATATATAACCAACTTATTTCAATGTAGAAGTTAAGCAAATTGGAATGTACTATGTATGGCATAAGACAATTGCAAGTCCATGAATGTCATGGGGACTTACTATAAGTCATTAAAATGACTTGCACTTTGGAAATGCTCCCTTGTTGGTTTGTGCTTGTAACCTTTTGTATAACTCTTGGTCCAACAAGTGAAGCAGCTGCGACGCTCTCTGGATGATGCTGAGGGGCTGAGCACTAAGAAGGAGTGGGCCCACCTGCACAGTGAAAAGATCTCACTCAAAGAGAGGGATGCATGTGTCTTCTTCCTCAGTGTCAGTTTGCAGCCTGTATTTAAATGCAAACTGCACTCAATGGATTGACAATTATCATGTTGTATTGGCCTTAATTCTGTGCTCTGGCCTTGCTTTCAGGTCACACTAACTGCTGGCTATGAGAGGATGGAAGCTGAGGTGAATGGCCTTCACTATCAGTTTGAGACAGAGAAATCTTGCTTCAAAAAGATGCAGGTTGACCTTCAGAGGGAGTTACAGGGAGCCTTTGAAGAGAACACCAAGCTTACTACTCTCCTGGATGAAAAAGTTTCCAAAAGTATGTAGCTAGTGTTGGTTGTCTTTTGTATAGTATTTCCTCTCTTCTCCAGCCTCTTGTTTATTTTCTATGTAGTTATTGAATTAGTTATCTAACATGGGGTCTCCTCTTTTTGCTTAGATCTCATAGACCGCATTGAACTTGAGAAAAAAGTTGCTGGCCTGAAGAAAGAGCTGGAGAAGTCTCATGAAGATGAGAGAACCCTACAAGCTAAGATCGAGGATTTGCGTGCACTGCAGGATCTTCCAGATAAAGTGGACAGTTTGATGAAGCAGGTAAACCCGTTGTTTTGTTACAATGTAAAGCAACAGAGACTTGTCTTTTAAGAGAAGTAACTTTTAATTAATCTCCTCTTCTTTGGCTGTTCAGGTATGTGATCTCAATGAGGAGCTGTGTGCAGTCCAAATAGAGAGAGAGAGCCTGGTGTCTGCTAAGGCCTGCAGTAAGGAGGAAGCTCAACAACTCAGAGAAAATGTCCAGAGTGCCCAGGAGCAGCTAGTCAAACTGCAAGATGACCTGAGCAAAGCAGAGTTGAGGGAAAAAGACCTAACCCATCAGTGCACCAACATCACTGAACAAAAGGAGACTCTCCGTAAGGACTTGGTGCGCTCCTCTGTGGAGAACAGTCGGCTTCTTACTACTGTGGAATAGTCCAGCCTGAGAGTAAGTTGGTCCTTGAATTTGTTTATTTGTTGAATCTTCTGTAAGGCTGTCCACCAACAATGTATTTTTTTGATTTAGCTGAAGGAGATTGATGATCGTCGGGCATTAATTGAAGATAAATTGTGTGGAATGCAACAAGTCATGAAAGACTTGAAGGAGAAGCTTGCTGACAGTGAATCATCCAAGGAACAAAATGACAATCTGTCCCAAGAACACCAAGATCAGGTGCAGTGCCTCTCAAAACAACTAACTTCAGCCGTCTCTCTACAGTAGGTATTTACAGTAATTAATTTGGTTAATTTGTTCTTAAGATAAGGCAGCTGAGTGAGGAGCTTGAGTCTGTGTGAGCTGAGCGAGAGAGTCTCCTGTCTGAGAAGACAGACAGTTCTCAGAATCATGCAGGGGAGTTGGAGAATCTGCTCTCTACTGTGACCTCACTGACTGAAGAGAGAGACCAGCTCCAGGAGATACTGTGGGGAGTCAGAGATGAGAGGAACCAGCTCAAGAGAGACCTGGGGGAGAATGTGGAGATGGTGAGTGATTAATCGATTAAACACAATATTTAGAAAATGCACGCACTGATAATTGCAATTAGAATAAGCTTCTTTTTTTTTCTACAAATGTACCTTTCATCATTTTGCAGATTATTGAAAACCAGGAGGAGCTAAGGGTGGCCCTTGAAAAGATTCACCATCAAGAGGAAAATATAAAACATATGGATATGCCCATCTAGTTGAACTGCAAAGTCAGGTAAAATGTGCTTTTACTTTACGACTGAATTGATTGTCACATCAATTGAGGAATAGATTATAATATAAATGCTAACCATACTGTTCAGATGAAGCAGCTGAATGAGGAGCTTGAGTCGGTGCGAGCTGAGCGAGAGAGTCTCCTGTCTGAGAAGACAGACAGCCCTCAGAATCATGCAGAGGAGTTGGAGAATCTGCTCTCTACTGTGACCTCACTGACTGAAGAGAGAGACCAGCTCCAGGAGATACTGTGGGGAGTCAGAGAAGAGAGGAACCAGCTCAAAAGAGACCTGGAGGAGAATGTGGAGATGGTGAGTTGGAGTTAAAAATTCTCTAAAATCACGTTGTTCAGAAACCATTATTATTATTTATTTGGTCCATGAATATAATGTGATATCTTTAACCAGTCCATCAAAGTCCAGGAGGAGCTGAAACAGCAGCAACATCTCAACTCTAAACAGCAGGCTGAGACAGAACAAGAAACAGCCCAACTTCAGCAACAAGTCAGTAATAGCTTCAACTCATCCAGGTGATGGTGTTTCATAGTTGCTTGTTTTGATCATTGTATGTTGTTTCACCTTGTTCAGATACAGCAGCTAGAGGAGGAACACGCACACATGAAAGATGAGAGCCCAGCTTCAAAGAGACCTGCAGGAAAATATGGAGATGGTGAGGCCTGTATTAGTTTTAAAATGTGCAGTTTTATATATTAATTATTATTTTGATGTGGTCTAAAGTGAAATCTCCCCCCCAGGTCATACAGGTCCAGAGGATATTAGAACAGCAGCAACATCTGAACACAGAACAGCAGGCTGAGAGAGAACAACACAAGGCCCTACTTAAACAACAAGTAAGTCATAGTTAAACCATATACCAGTACATAGCTGGTGGCGTTAGGCTATTGGTGAAATATATTTTAATTCCTTGAACATTGTTTTGCAGGTCCAGCATCTTGAAGAGCAGTTGGAGACAGTGAAAGATGATAGGAGCCCGGTCAAGAGCAGCCTTCAGGACAATATGGACATGGTGAGAGTGTGTGTGACTGTTCTGAACTCAGAGAAGCAGAGTCATAATGTGAGAGAACCAAGATCAGAATGTTTTGGTACAAGTGGTTTTGGCTAAAATGACTTTAAATGTTCCCTTTGCATTGCCCTCAGATGAAGCAGCTGAAAGAAGAATTGCAAGGTTTCAAAGAAGGACAGTCTCATTTCGAAGTCGAAGCAGAAACCTCACAAGGTTTATGTTTCATTGTACATGCGGATAACACATAGTTCCTTCTGCTCTGTCTGAAGTTGCTGTGGCATTTTTCTAATAAACTTTTTTTCCCCCATTCCAGATGCTTAGTGATGCGAATGTGACCATCTCCATATTGACAGATCAGATCAATAACCTGGAGCAGAGCACTAACTGTGGTACCACCAGTGCAGCAGAGGGAATGTGCTCCAGACTGGAGGCTTCTACTCAGCAGCTCCAGGTGGGCTAGCACTGGAGTTTCTGTTTCAAAATCTATACAAATGCATCATTCGATGACAGCATAATAAAAGCAATTCTATCCCTTTGCAGGCGTCCTTCGTAAGGCTCCAGCTTGTTATCAATGGTGCTTCAAAGCCTGGACATGGGCCCCTGGTCGAAGTTGAAGTAGTAATGATACTAAAACTGTTGCCCCTTCTTCCAAAACCCACAAAAAAGATCTGTAGCAATGTCAATAGATCTACAGTCCAGATAACTAATGCGGGTTGGGATACAAAGGTATGAATAATCACACGGTCATAATAGTTTCTATTTAATTTTGAACTGCTATAGTAAACGCAGTTTGCTAAATTGAGTCAAAACATTTTCGGTGCTGCTGAAGCTGTTTGCCAAGGATTACAAAACCCACTTTGAAGCCCTGGTCCAGAATGACTTGGCTGTATTTGAGGAGAGGAGACTGCAGGACCTGCTCCTCTGTAGAGCCCAGGCACTCAGTCAAGGTGGCTGAGAACGACTTCCTGGAGTCTGGGACCAGAGACTGTCAGAGCTGCATACTGTATGTTGTGAAACTAATCGTTTTATATCATGGGTTATCAGAAAATGAATAGTGTTTTGGTGAAGCTTGAGGAGCGCCTGGCCACTCACCCAGCAGCGTTGTCAGAGGAGCTGAGGGCGCGAGAGAAGAGCAACGAGGAGCTGAGTGCTCTAAGCATGGTCCACTCACCTGACTCGTCAGCTGTGGAGAGCTTCCTGGAGCGAGCTGGCCCGGCGCTCTGCCGTGGCACAGGCCAACACACAGGCTCTCCAGGTAGTTAACCCCACCAATCATCTCCAGTCTTAGTTACCACATACAGAATGTCAATTGTATGGTAGGGTTCGATCATGATTTGTGTGTGAATGTTTTTCCTCTTGCAGGGATTGCGAGATGAGCGCCGCGGTCTGCTAAAAGAGCTAGGCGTGGTCCGAGCACAGGCTAACAGTCAGCTGAAAGAAGAGAGGCGTAAGACCTTTACTTTGCTGCAGATACTGAAGAATGCCCCAGTCAAGACTGAAGCTGATCTGCTGAGGGACAACCAGCAACTTGCCCTGCATTGTCAGCAGTTGGAGAGCGAAATCAAGGTACCATTTTAACCCGTTTTTAATCTCATGGATGATTTCCATTGTTCTTCTATCTGAACCCATGACTAGTTTACAATGTGTACATGGTGTGTTTGCAGGAAATGCAGATGAGAGTTGAGCAGCTGGAAGAGCACCAGATCAAAGCTACTAATAGGGTCTCGAACCACAAACAAGCCACCCAGCTCCTACAAACTGAGCTTCAGGATGCTTGTGCACAAGTCAAGGATAGGGAGGGCTCCATCCAAATCCTCAATGAGAAACTCAGAGAGACTGACGTAAAGGTTGGAGCAAGGTGGAATTTCACCCCTAGTCTTTTATTTGTATTTTGTGAGGGATGTGTTCATTACTGTATAAACTGTACAATACTATATATATATATATATATACACACATACAGTGGGGGAAAAAAGTATTTAGTCAGCCACCAATTGTGCAAGTTCTCCCACTTAAAAAGATGAGAGACGCCTGTAATTTTCATCATAGGTACACGTCAACTATGACAGAGAAAATGAGAAAAATAATTCCAGAAAATCACATTGTAGGATTTTTTATGAATTTATTTGCAAATTATGGTGGAAAATAAGTATTTGGTCAATAACAAAAGTTTCTCAATACTTTTATATACCCTTTGTTGGCATTGACACAGGTCAAACGTTTTCTGTAAGTCTTCACAAGGTTTTCACACACTGTTGCTGGTATTTTGGCCCATTCCTCCATGTAGATCTCCTCTAGAGCAGTGATGTTTTGGGGCTGTCGCTGGGCAACACAGACTTTCAACTCCCTCCAAAGATTTTCTATGGGGTTGAGATCTGGAGACTGGCTAGGCCACTCCAGGACCTTGAAATGCTTCTTACGAAGCCACTCCTTCGTTGCCGGGGCGGTGTGTTTGGGATCATTGTCATGCTGAAAGACCCAGCCACGTTTCATCTTCAATGCCCTTGCTGATGGAAGGAGGTTTTCACTCAAAATCTCACGATACATGGCCCCATTCATTCTTTCCTTTACACGGATCAGTCGTCCTAGTCCCTTTGCAGAAAAACAGCCCCAAAGCATGATGTTTCCACCCCCATGCTTCACAGTAGGTATGGTGTTCTTTGGATGCAACTCACCATTCTTTGTCCTCCAAACACAACAAGTTTAGTTTTTACCAAAAAGTTCTATTTTGGTTTCATCTGACCATATGACATTCTCCCAATCCTCTTCTGGATCATCCAAATGCACTCTAGCAAACTTCAGATGGGCCTGGACATGTACTGGCTTAAGCAGGGGGACACGTCTGCCACTGCAGGATTTGAGTCCCTAGCGGCGTAGTGTGTTACTGATGGTAGGCTTTGTTACTTTGGTCCCAGCTCTCTGCAGGTCATTCACTAGGTCCCCCCGTGTGGTTCTGGGATTTTTGCTCACCGTTCTTGTGATCATTTTGACCCCACGGGGTGAGATCTTGCGTGGAGCCCCAGATCGAGGGAGATTATCAGTGGTCTTGTATGTCTTCCATTTCCTAATAATTGCTCCCACAGTTGATTTCTTCAAACCAAGCTGCTTACCTATTGCAGATTCAGTCTTCCCAGCCTGGTGCAGGTATACCATTTTGTTTCTGGTGTCCTTTGACAGCTCTTTGGTCTTGGCCATAGTGGAGTTTGGAGTGTGACTGTTTGAGGTTGTGGACAGGTGTCTTTTATACTGATAACAAGTTCAAACAGGTGCCATTAATACAGGTAACGAGTGGAGGACAGAGGAGCCTCTTAAAGAAGAAGTTACAGGTCTGTGAGAGCCAGAAATCTTGCATGTTTGTAGGTGACCAAATACTTATTTTCCACCATAATTTGCAAATAAATTCATTAAAAATCCTACAATGTGATTTTCTGGATTTTTTTTCTCAATTTGTCTGTCATAGTTGACGTGTACCTATGATGAAAATTACATGCCTCTCTCATCTTTTTAAGTGGGAGAACTTGCACAACTGGTGGCTGACTAAATACTTTTTTTCCCCACTGTGTATATATATATATATATATATATATATACATATATATATATATATATATATATATATATATATATATATATATATATATATATATATATATATATATATATATACATATACACACACAGTGGGGAAAAAAAGTATTTGATACACTGCCGATATTGCAGGTTTTCCTACTTACAAAGCATGTAGAGGTCTGTAATTGTTATCATAGGTACACTTCAACTGTGAGAGGCGGGATCTAAAACAAAAATCCAGAAAATCACATTGTATGATTTTTAAGTAATTAATTTGCATTTTATTGCATGACATAAGTATTTGATCACCTACCAACCAGTAAGAATTCCGGCTCTCACAGACCTATTAGTTTTTCTTTAAGAAGCCCTCCAGTTCTCCACTCATTACCTGTATTAACTGCACCTGTTTGAACTCGTTACCTGTATAAAAGACACCTGTCCACACACTCAATCAAACAGACTCCAACCTCTCCACAATGGCCAAGACCAGAGAGCTGTGTAAGGACATCAGGGATAAAATTGTAGACCTGCACAAGGCTGGGATGGGCTACAGGACAATAGGCAAGCAGCTTGGTGAGAAGGCAACAACTGTTGGCGCAATTATTAGAAAATGGAAGAAGTTCAAGATGACGGTCAATCAACCTCGGTCTGGGGCTCCATGCAAGATCTCACCTCGTGGGGCATCACTGATCATGAGGAAGGTGAGGGATCAGCCCAGAACTACACGGCAGGACCTGGTCAATGACCTGAAGAGAGCTGGGACCACAGTCTCGAAGAAAACCATTAGTAACACACTACGCCATCATGGATTAAAATCCTGCAGCGCACGTAAAGGTCCCCCTGCTCAAGCCAGCGCATGTCCAGGCCCGTCTGAAGTTTGCCAATGACCATCTGGATGATCCAGAGGAGGAATTGGAGAAGGTCATGTGGTCTGATGAGACAAAAATAGAGCTTTTTGGTCTAAACTCCACTCGCCGTGTTTGGAGGAAGAAGAAGGATGAGTACAACCCCAAGAACACCATCCCAACCGTGAAGCATGGAGGTGGAAACATCATTCTTTGGGGATGCTTTTCTGCAAAGGGGACAGGACGACTGCACCGTATTGAGGGGAGGATAGATGGGGCCATGTATCACGAGATCTTGGCCAACAACCTCCTTCCCTCAGTAAGAGCATTGAAGATGGGTCGTGGCTGGGTCTTCCAGCATGACAACGACCCGAAACACACAGCCAGGGCAACTAAGGAGTGGCTCCGTAAGAAGCATCTGAAGGTCCTGGAGTGGCCTAGCCAGTCTCCAGACCTGAACCCAATAGAAAATCTTTGGAGGGAGCTGAAAGTCTGTATTGCCCAGCGACAGCCCCGAAACCTGAAGGATCTGGAGAAGGTCTGTATGGAGGAGTGGGCCAAAATCCCTGCTGCAGTGTGTGCAAACCTGGTCAAGACCTACAGGAAACGTATGATCTCTGTAATTGCAAACAAAGTTTTCTGTACCAAATATTAAGTTCTGCTTTTCTGATGTATCAAATACTTATGTCATGCAATAAAATGCAAATGAATTACTTAAAAATCATACAATGTGATTTTCTGGATTTTTGTTTTAGATTCCGCCTCTCACCGTTGAAGTGTACCTATGATAAAAATTACAGACCTCTACATGCTTTGTAAGTAGGAAAACCTGCGAAATCGGCAGTGTATCAAATACTTGTTCTCCCCACTGTATATATATATATCTTGGTTGTAGGTTCTGGCCAAGAACAGAGCATCACCTAGTGCTCTTGAGCTTGAAAAGCTGAAGGCTAAAGTTGTGAAAATGGAGATGGAGATGACTGCATCGTCCTCTAAACACCAAGAAGAGTAAGGCCTAATTTGTTTTAATCATGAGCTCCTATGTCATTTTAAATGTGTATTCTTCCTTTGGTTCCATCTGGTTTGTACCACTGCTGAATTTGAGCAGGGCTTGATTAAAGTATCTCTCCCTGTGTCATCATTGGAGAAGATACATGTTCATGACGTTCTGCATTTGTTGCCCCAAGGTTACTGAGTATGACCACGGTCCTGAACCACAAGGAGGACACTGAGGACACTGAAGGAGACTCTGAGAAGATCACAGCAGGAGGGAGAACAGTCATGTAAGTCTGCCCCAGACAATATTAAGAATAGAATTTGAGATGACCACCAAACGACAAGTGAATAGTTATGAGCCCAAATTGAGATATGTAATTATATTGCAGTCATGGGGGGAGAGGATCTGCATGCCAGACTGACAACCACCAGAGGACGTACGGTCCAAAGCAACATTCTCGTTGAAAATAACAAACTTGAGGAGGAAGTGAAACGGCTACAGAGGATAATTTCTGAATTGGAGAGGTAAAGATGGATCTGTAAGATTACTGTAATGCTTTGACGTTTCTTGTGATATCATATCGCTGACATTCTGCCATTTCTCTCTGTTTTGACAGCTTTGTGTCCACTCAGCAAGGAGAGATCACCAAGTGGAAGGCTAGAGCAGTTAAGCTGAAGGGGAAGAGGGACGTGGTAGAAACGCCTCTATCTCCATGTACTTCTACAAAACGAAGCATTCCCATGAGTTCTGAGGACGTCAACTCTCCCATGAAGTTCCTTCACTCTCCCATGAAGTTCCTCGACTCGCCCAAGAGCAAGTTTTTTTATGTCCATCCAGGCTCTGAATCAATGTCGATTAATTGTCCCAAGCAGTTTTTTGATAACTCCAACCTTGGAACCATTCAAGGTAACTACAGTCAAATTTACCTGAGTTTACCTTACATTTTAAGTTTGTATCCGGTCTTTTAACGGCAGTTGGCCTTAATGATATTACATGTTTTACCAGAGGTTGTGTGTATTCCCATAACATCAGATATGGAGGCTGCTGGAAGTGCAGAAGCGGGTAATTGGTGTAATGTTATCCCCTGTGTTTGGAATAAAATGGTGGCGTTATTATTAATTGGAGCACAAACACCTTCTCTTCTGGCAGTTAATGTCACTTGTCACATACTGGTTAAATGGAGTGAGGTACTGTGTAATAGGGGTTGGTAACAAAAGTTTGATAGCACTTCATCACTGATTGTCTCTAACACTTCCTCCATCTTTGGAATTTTTACCTATACCCAGTGTTTCCTCTAGGAGCTTTGTTCAGCAGCGGTGGCAAAGGTATCGGGGGGGGGGGGGGGGGGGTCTCTTCGCTGCAGGGGTCTGGGCGCAAGCCCCCCGGGATATTATTTTCAAAAATTGGAACGACTGAGAAGGTCACTTCTGGTGACTTTAAATAAATATATATTTACTCCAAAATGCATAAAAATTAATTGGTGCGTGCCACTGCACTGTAGGGAGATGAGGAGCAAGTGGTGGCTATGCGCTCGTGGCTCTCATTCGCGCAACTGCTCGCTCTGTTTGCTTCAAATATATGTTATAAGTTGTCACACTGATCTTAAAGGGATAGTGCGAGATTTCGGCAATTAAGCACTTTTTATACTTACCCAGTTCATGGTATCCATGAACTCATGGATACCACTTTTATGTCTATGCATGCAGTTTGAAGGACATTGCTAACTAGCGTTAGCACAATGACTGGAATTCTATGGGAACAACATCCAGTCATTTAGCATCCAGTCATTGAGCAAAGGCTAGTTAGCAACTTCCTTCAAACTGCATGCAGACTGCAAAGACATAGAAATAGTATCCGAGTTCATATGACTTTGGGTAAGTAGAAAAGGTGCTTAATTGACTATCTCGCACTATCCAAGTGCGTGTCGGCATATATTTATTTTTTGTATTTGTTTTGAGGTGGGGGGCAGTGGCAGCAACAGAAATGAATATAGGGGAAACACTGCTATACCAGGCTAGCTTTGGTTTTGCATGGTGGTTTGTTAGCTTTTGTATTGTTTTGGCTGATTTGGTCTTTATTTTCTCTTTTCAGATGCAACTGTAGATAAAAGGGAGGAATGGTGGCCTCTGTCACCAAAGCAAGCTGATTTATGCAAACAACAATAAATTATTTACCTAAATTGCACTAATTGTTGTCTGTCAATTTTTCAATATTTAAAATGTTTAATGTTTTTAAATTGTAGTTGTCGTCAGTTAATTTTAACATTGTGATCAATTTGATTGTCTTATAGTTGTTTAAAATAAAGAGCAGTTTTTTATAAGACTCATCTTAACCTTAGGTTATTATTATTAACCTGCTCTCTTTGTAATAGCACTTTCAGATGATCTGACAGCAGAGGGCGTGCTTACACCATTTTGTATGAGAATGTCTATATTTTGACAATGATGGAGGATTTTAAACTTGATCTCTATGCAAGGTGGTCTTAGTGTTCAGTTTCTCCCATTTAATCATTTTCTGACTATAATGCTTTAAAATTTTTAACCATAGATTGCAGTTTTTGATTGAGGATATTGTCCATTCATGGGACTTTCATGACTCCTTATTGGAAGTGCTTTCTAATTCCACTGAGTTTGGAATTGTCTAAAAGGATATCGGTTACATTTTCGGAGATGGAGCATCACTAGGGTATTTAAGCTACATTCCAGAATTAAACTCTGAATTATTCTAAATAACTGTATTTGCCTGTACGCTGTGCAAGTAAACAGGAGGCCTGACTCGGTCCACTTAGACAATAGCTGCCTCACGGCTACATTATCTTGGTCACTTCCTCTGCATGGCTTCACATTTCAATTAAGAGGGTGCTTAACTCCATGTGCTGCACACAATGGTACACAGAGTCAGTAACCGCATTCTTCCTGTTCTCTCTGTTGGGATTACTGTAAGAAGGGTACTGAGCCTTCAGAAGGAGGACTGGCACCATGGTAAATAACCTTTTAGAGTGCTGTAGCACATCGAAGGTAATTTGATCACAGGGTCCCAAATGGAAGGGAATTAAGTGATGTTTTCTGACTGCCTGACAAAGTAAAGAGGACAGATCTAAAGATACTGGAATGCATGACTTAATTTGTACTCTGAGACAGAGGTTCCAGTGACTGAGCCCTGCATACTTATCATGCAGTAGTTGTCTGAAACCTAATGACTGCACCAGCTAAAAAGACATGACCGACTGGGGTTGAAAGTGCTACAAGACTGTGGTAGACTGCTGAGCTAAAGTCTAACACAAGTCTTCCGGTTCAGGCAAGATTATTCAATACACGTTATGTTCCAAAAGTTATTTTCATTAAATGGAGGCTGAAATACAGGTATGTATGTAATCTTGGTAAATAAAGTATCTCTCAAACCTCTAGCCGGAGAGGAGTAGTGGTTTGCATTATTTCACAAATATCAACATACAGTAACTGTCATTTATGGAAATGGAAGAGCTAAAGTCTGCACTCAGATCATCAACAAAATACACTTTTCCCAGGTTCCTCTTGTACACCTAACTCATCAATAGTATCGCAGTGGTCTAAGGCACTGCATCGCAGTGCTAGCTGTGCCACTAGAGATCCTGGTTCGAATCCAGGCTCTGTCGTAGACGGCCGCGACCGGGAGACCCATGGGGCGGCGCACAATTGGCCCAGCGTCGTCCAGGGTAGGGGAGGGAATGGCCGGCAGGGATGTAGCTCAGTTGGTAAAGCATGGCGTTTGCAATGCCAGGGTTGTGGGTTCGATTCCCACGGGGGGCCAGTATAAAAAAAGAATGTATGCACTCACTAACTGTAAGTCGCTCTGGATAAAAGCGTCTGCTAAATGACTAAAATGTAAATGTAAGATATCACAATATTGTAGGCAAACAGGTTTGCCAGTTTTTTACAGTTAAGAGAAAAAATTATGTAGGCAATATAAGAAGTTGGAACACAATTGGTCAGATAAAGGTCAAAGTCCTTGGGTTGAAGAAGATGGAAGAGAATGAAGGGAGACCTTCTTAAAAGGTAATTACAGTATCAAGCCTGAACCAGACATTCCTCAAGCACAAGTCGTCCGAGTAGTCCTCATTGTAATTAAAGTAAGCCAAAGTGTCAAGTTTTACCCTCCCCTGCAGCCCACCAAACTGCTGAGGTGGGCTTGTTTCACCTAATAGTATTCTTATTTGTATATTTCCATAATGTGTTAGTGGGAATCATCCAGGAATGGTCTTTCCCTTGTTCAATTATTTAGGGCTCAGTCACAGACAGTCATTAAAGTTTCATGGGAGGAAATTTGGAGGCAGTGCTGGTCGCTTTAGAAAACAAAACGCCCTCGCTGCCTTTGGAAGTACATGTTGTGAACTTGTGACTGAGGAGGTAAAATGAAATTCATCATTACATTTGTGGACTATTATTGACCCAGAAACTAACAAGTGGAATTGTATTGTGATCAAATATATTTGATTAGGTATGTCACTCTGAAAGTTACCTTCTCTCTCAAAGATAGCTATATAGATAACTTAATGAACTTGCTAACTCATTTGCTGTGTGAGACTTTGAGGAACACATCCACAAAATAGTCAGTAACGCTCGAGACAACATGTAATACTGATGCACACAAATAGATGCCCCAAAAGTTTGTCTCCTTATAATTATTGTCAGATTTAGAAATGTATTATTGCCCGTGCTTAAAAACGAACAGGTAACATGTTACCTCTCCCCCCATGCACACTTAGAAATAACACTTGTTTTGGGAAATACTATTACAAACATATCACTTTGATCATTCTGCATGCCTTGAATCCTCTTAACAGCAAAATCACATGCCCACAGAAATAGCCTTGAGTAGAAAATGGGTCATGTAAGATTTATTTAGGGAGGTAATTAAACTGAGTGTATGTGGCTTTACATGGGATAATACATACACAACAGCAGCTTACTGTAATACTTTGCTGATAAAGATTAGAGCGGAACATTTCTGAATCTCCTAAATAAGAATCCCAGGCAATTTGTTTTTAGAGATATAAAATATTTTACAAATAAAATTCAGTGCTCTAAATTGCTGACAGAATTCTTACAGGGATGGGAAAGGAAGTAAAAATGACATTCTATCTCCTCAAGCACAGTTAAATGTTCAGTTGAATTGCAACAATAATTTTCAGACATGCTACATGCCAGGGACACTGCATGACAGGCAGTCTTGGGCAGGCCAGTTATCTCTCATTGATTCATTGTTAAAGATGTTTGAAAATGTTTTGTGGGAGGAACATCACACTACATTTTCTTCTCTATTCTTCTTCTGTCTATTCTGTTGAAGTCTGAATACTGTTTTTCACATTTACTCCTACAATAGGTCTTGATATTGTTCATTTAAGGCATGTTTTCATGTCAGAGTGGCTATTGGAAAGATTTTACGTTTTCTCTATTCTTAGCGCCAACTCATACACTGGTAGCATGACTACTTGCAGTGTTTTCATTTCCAATTGTAAGGGTATAAATATTCCATTTGCTCTGGGCTCCATTCCCAGAATGAGATGTGATTACATGAGCTGAATTATACTTTTTAAAACCCTGGTTTCCAAAAACAAAATGAACAAAAATGTGTTGGTTATTTGTCCCCCAAAAAATTATTACGTAAGTATTTAATGTTCAAAATGTGGTTACATGCAGGTGTAAAATGTGGATTTTGGACATTGTATTGAGATGGAACTCCATTCCACTCCATCCATCCCTCGCCAATTCCTGGTTATTCCTCCAATGTAACAGCTATCTTTGGTCATCAGTCTATACTTTCTGCATTCATAAAAAGCATGATGGCATCACAATGTTATCCTTCGGGCTGTGCTGCCTGCCTAATGGCTGAATTGGCTTGATTGGTGTCACCTGTTTTGTTGTCACATGCCAACTGCAGTGTATTAGTGATGTGAGCTAAAGAGTACATTTGTATTTAGTGTGGTCATTAAAAGGGCCACACCAGAAATGATGACTGTGAGCTCGAGTCAAAGTCCCATTAAGAGGTCATGAGAGGCAGCTTTTGTTTATTCATGACACATTTAAGTCAGTAAGTGCAGTGCAACAATGGCTGAGTAAGTAAATAAGTGCAACAACCCCATCAAATTAGTAGATTTGGCTATTTCAGCCACACCCGTTGCTGACAGGTGTATAAAATTGATCACACAGCCATGCAATCTCTATAGACAAACAATGGCAGTAGAATGGCCTTACTGAAGAGCTCAGTGACTTTCAACGTGGCACCGTCATAGGATGCCACCTTTCCAACAAGTCAGTTCGTCAAATTTCTGCCCTGCTAGAGCTGCCCCAGTCAACTCTAAGTGCTGTTATGGTGAAGTGGAAATGTCTAGAAGCAACAACGGCTCAGTCACAAAGTGGTAGGCCATACAAGCTCACAGAACGGGACCACTGAGTACTGAAGCGCGTAAAAACCGTCTGTCCTCGGTTGCAACACTCACTACAGAGTTCCAAACTGCCTCTGAAAGCAACGTCAGCACAAGAACTGTTCGTTGGGAGCTTCATGAAATGGGTTTCCATGGCGAGCAGCCGCACACAAGCCTAAGATCACCATGCGCAATGCCAAGCGTCGGCTGGTGTGGTGTAACGCTCTCCGACATTGAACTCTGGAGCAGTGGAAACGCGGTCTCTGGAGTGATGAATCACGCTTCACCATCTGGCAGTCCGACGGACGAATCTGGGTTTGGCGGATGCCAGGAGAACGCTACTTGCCCCAATGCATAGTGCCAACTGTAACGTTTGGTGGAGGAGGAGTAATGGTCTGGAGCTGTTTTTCATCGTTCGGGCTAGGCCACTTACAGTGGGGAAAAAAAGTATTTAGTCAGCCACCAATTGTGCAAGTTCTCCCACTTAAAAAGATGAGAGAGGCCTGTAATTTTCATCATAGGTACACGTCAACTATGACAGACAAATTGAGAATTTTTTTTCCAGAAAATCACATTGTAGGATTTTTAATGAATTTATTAGTAAATTATGGTGGAAAATAAGTATTTGATCACCTACAAACAAGCAAGATTTCTGGCTCTCACAGACCTGTAACTTCTTCTTTAAGAGGCTCCTCTGTCCTCCACTCGTTACCTGTATTAATGGCACCTGTTTGAACTTGTTATCAGTATAAAAGACACCTGTCCACAACCTCAAACAGTCACACTCCAAACTCCACTATGGCCAAGACCAAAGAGCTGTCAAAGGACACCAGAAACAAAATGGTAGACCTGCACCAGGCTGGGAAGACTGAATCTGCAATAGGTAAGCAGCTTGGTTTGAAGAAATCAACTGTGGGAGC